GCGGTGGCGCAGGTAGTACAACGCCTGCAGGTAACATCAATAGCGAACAGCCACAATGGCTGTTTGAATCCCCACCGTGGCCAGGTTGAGCCCCCGGCCCCAGTCCCAGCTCCCGCCAACCCAGCGGCCCGAAAGTAAAAACAAGTAGACAAATGGGTACCTACCCTAGGTGGCAGGGGGCACCCTCCTCCTGGTCCCGTGCCAGGAGTGCGGTTGATAGTGGCGGCGGCAAGCGGAGCGACGGTGAGAGTAATGGCGGCGGCGGAGCAACTAAGCGATCCAGGAAAGGTGGCGACCAGATCGAATGGAGGCAGAGCTGGGGCGACGAGAGGACGCAGCATGGCTGGAGCCTGATGAGACACATAGCCGGAAGCTGCGCCCCGAAGCAGCTGCGTGCCGGAGGAGGAAAGTCATCAAGAGCCTGCCCTGAGATGGTCGCCAGTCATCCAGATCATCAGAAAAACAACGTCCGAGGCCGCCGGAGAGAACGAAAAAAATACGCCGCATGGGTGCTGTTAGGTAATCCCCTCTCCGTATAATTGTGGCCCTAGCTAGGTAACCAACTACATAAAGTAGTTCATTGTAAAACCGCTCTGAGACCCAGTAGGGGTCATGAGCGGTATAGAAATTGAAATATTAATAAATAAAAAATAAAAATCAACCATAAGGGAGACTGCAACCGAGAAATCAGAAGAAGATTGAGACTGGGAAGGGCAGCCATGAAGGAACTGGAAAAGATCCTTAAGTGTAAGCATAAGTCACTGGCAACCAAGATCAAAATAATTAATGCTATAGTATTCCCCCTTACTATATATGGGTGTGAAAGTTGGACAATGGAGAAAGCTGACAGGAAGAAAGTTGATTTATTTAAAACTAGGAATAAGGCCCATTGTGGAAATAAATACAACGAGCTCTAGTAAGAGGCTCTGGGAGAGTGCAAAGTCCTTGGGCACTCAGCGCCAATGTGCTGTGGCTACCTCAGCAGGGTATAATGACACAGAGTCCACCATTTTCTCCAGAGGAACTGATTTCTGCTACCTGAAGAGCAGCTGTAATTTTCAGTGATCTCCAACCCTCACCTGGAGATTGGCAACAACTGTTACT